CTTCTAGTACCCTATTGAAAAAATGGGAACTCTACCAGAGATAGACAAAATAAATGATATCCTTTTAAAAGCCAGGAAAAAGAAGCATTTTTAGTTGTGCGATGTCGCCGGCGTAAATTGAAAAAATTCAGAGGTTATGGAGCGAAGTGCGAATTAAATTAACAACAACTAGATCACGTTTCAGCGTACATCAATCATATCTTTGCGGTACGATGTAGTCTTATGGTTTGTTTTAAAAATTTTTCTCATGATACATATAGAGTAAATGAGGTTTGCTATGTCAGGATAAAGACTTTAAAAATATGGTAAGTATATACGCGCACTCCATTCAAGATTTTTTTGCCGTCTAGAAGTATGCTGATTAGGTTTGAGAAAGTCATTTATTGTAGCTCCCATCAATGACAAGGAAGAATTTTAAAAATTCTGCCATAGTCGACCTAACGTATCAGTAATCTCTATTTTTGCTGCTGACAACGAACTGACTTCGTGCTTAGCTAAGAGAACACTCCCTTTTACCGTATTTGAGTTCTACACAATAAGAATATTTTAACACTAAAGATGATCGCTCACTGAAAAATTTTTTTTCAAACCTCATGTGCTTTTTTAGTGTATTTGTTAATTGTCGACGAAAGACTGCCGGTATCTCCTGTTCACAAAAAAGTGACAGTTCTATGATCTTTGGTTAAGAACTGTTTAATCTCCGTTCTGTTGTTTGCAAAACAAGTAACAGCTAGTTAGCTGCATGAATAGTGTAAAAAATGTGGAATTTTCAAGCGAGGGAAGAACAGTAGGTCAAATAACTGTTCCTTCTGGGTGGGCTAAAATTCTTGAAGCAGCTGGTTTTATAAATGCTATAACTGTTATTTAATTGAATTTTTTGAAAGGATATTTAACTGTTTTTTTAGCAAAGTTGCTTTATTTTATAATGTTAAAATAAAACAAGATCAGAACACTAAACTGGGACTGCAAGTTATCTGAAGTCAAAAGAGCAGGTAGCAGCTATTAGCGAAGGTAATTAAAGCGCTTGAATGACATAATTTAGAGTCTCTAAGAGGGTCACACTTGTCTTTTTTTGATTTATCGTTTGCATACTTGAATTTTTGATTATAATTAGAGGATAGTGAGTCTTTTTTTGGTAAATATTGTTTTTTTCCAAGGGAAGTTAAGATGGAACCAAATTAATTTATGATTTTAGAGGAAGTTCGCAGCCGAAGTAAACTGATACAACATGAAATCGGTTTTCTTAGTTGTCAACAGTGCAGTACAGTCTACTCCCATCTATTATTAACAGTTCTCTTAGGAGCGTTATTTGCCCAAAATACGTGCTGTCAGTCACTTGGGCGTTTTTTTTCCTCGGCAGTGCTTCAAAAAATGCAGTTTTATGCAACCTTTTGTTGGGATCCACGATTGCCCAAAAACTCTTCAGCATGCCTACGAAAATCTCGAAAAGTCGGACACTTTGCTTAAAAAAACGGAGCTTGTGGCTGGGGTGATGGGTTATCTGCGCAACCAGGAGGAAGATAATACGTGAAAATGGTATCGTATTGTTTTGCCCGGTTATCGTTCTTTATTGACCATTGAACTGGAATGGGCTGCCTGCCTTTTATTGAACTTTTACTTATAGTTCTGTTTCTCAAATTTTGCCTGAACTGTGGCGAATGGTAGGTCTATCCAGAAGTTTTATCGAACCGAAAAGATTTTGTAATATTCTATCTTTCCAATCTGTAAATGCACTTCATTCGGCTTGAAATCCTTTATTTTGCTGTCTAATTTCCTAGAAGTTATGTTTTGTATAAGATTTCCTGCACTACAAAGTAAAAAACTTTCCGGAGCAAGAAAATTTTAAGATTCTGGGTTACAGTTGTTTAAGCGGTCGTTGGTAGAATTAGGCAGTTTTAACTTATTACAGAAAAATTTCGCTTCTGAGCTGATTTTCTAACAATCGAGTTTAGGCAGAACGAGAGTACATTTCGCCAGAGCTTCAAGTCACAGGTTTACCGAAAACTTGATTGCTACCGTGAATATTAGCAAACTATGAATCTTTATGAGGAACTTTAGTTAATTACCGGTTGCTTTAGTTTATAAAGTTTTTTACTAAATTTCAGCTTTTTATTTATATAGTCAAAACTTGACCTATATTAGAGCGTTCAAACTGACCTTTACGTATTTTTTTTAATTTATGTCACATGAATTTTGGTCTTCGTTTATATCAGTCGTTGAAATGGTCTTGTACTAAAAAGATTATTAAATTAATCTTAAATTTCTGTTTTACTGACGTTTCGCTCTTTTATCTAAATCTTTTCTTATTATTTTTCGAAAAGTTTTACTTTTAGGTAACTATATTGAATAAATCAGCACAAAAACCAGATGTTCCCCATTTGTTAGTCAAATTAAATCGCTTTCAGGACCGGGTGAACGGGTTCAATTTAATTTCAAATATTTTAACTTTATGGCTGATCGTCACATGCATTACGGTTGTTAATTTCTCGGAAATTGCATAAATTTATCAGCTTTGACCGGCAAGTCAGTTTTAGAAATGGAATAAGCAGCCTATAAAAGTGCTTTTGAATGCAATAGTGTATAAGAACAATTTTTATTGAGAAAGCCTTTGAAGCTAAAATGATGTGAGAAAAATATTCTGCTGTAGATGAAAAGTTGAATCTTATTGTCAAGAACGTTCTTCTGCTTTCTTGAACATTTTAAAAATTTTTCTGCATATGGGTGAAATGCATCTGAATATTTGTTTCAGGCCATGTGGTTCCAAACGTAAATTTGTTCCTTTTGAAACGAGACGATATAATTGATCGTTTGGTTCAGAATAACGCCAATCCATCCCTGTTAGGTTAAATACGTACCTTTCGGACAAGTTCTAACTGACAGTTAAGGAAATGTTATTGTTGTGTAGTAAGCGACAACTTTATGTTGAAGAAACTGTCATACATATTTGCTTTATCTAGTCGCGATTACGACTTTTATTTATCGTTGCAAAGTTTTAAAATTTCTGTAGCAAATGCACAACAGCTATTTATGGCCAATAAAGAGTACTGAAATTGAGATGCTGCGGATGAAAACAAATAAGACCGGTTTTTGGTTTTTTATTAATTTTTGTGAATAAATGCAACAGTGGCAGTAGGGCATTAAGGATCTAAAAAAAAGTCAAATTAGGTGAATTCTGGATTCAGGTGACAATAATAACGTGTAATGTTTGCGACGTTTCGGTGGTTCATCTCAGATTTATGCTTTATATATATCTAAGTTTTTTAAATGAAAACATCAATTTTTGTTTGCATTTTAAACTGTTCTTGTCTTATTTTGTTTGTCTGACGTTCAGGAGTCGACGATAATCAAACATTGGTGAAATTATTTTGTATTATATTACATTCTTCTGTGCTATGATTTACATGCTGCAGAAAGTGACGTTAAATGTTGGGATAACCGAGTTTTTATCTTTAGAAAGATATAATTTTCTTGTAAAGAACTGGCTGTCTAAATCAGCGATGCTGAAGGACTATAAAACTTCTTTGCTCTGCCTGCCCATAATTTTAAACACGGCATTAGGTGAGTGTGTCACGGAAGAAAAATGTATAAAATTGCTGCATCACATAGATTTCCAGCATTTTGTGGGTCTTATTCTGCATCAGTTTCAAATCTTTTTGCTTAGCTTGGTGTAGAACTGTTAGATAAAATTGATCAAATTGAAGATACTGGGAAATGTAGAAGGAAGGGCTCTGATTAAAGCAATTGTGACTGTTGTCCTTTTTTTTTCTCTCAATTACCAAATCATAGTTCGCATCAGTTTTGAAGGACAGCTGAGGAACAGACCAAGAGGGCTCGGGTTGCTACGGTTACCAACTGGTATGACTGACGAAAGATCCGGTCCATTTTTTCCAAACTTATACATTGCTGGCAACAAAGCAGGCCAGAAACCACAAACCGTTCCTGACATACATTTACCCGGTCAAGAAGCTCAATTTACAGGAAAGTAAGAAAGCTACTGAGCATTCAATACTCTTACTGATTGAATCAATAGTGTGAATTCAGCATAATTTATTAGTTTTTGGTATATCATTTTCATCTGAAACTAGATATTAATAATTTTTAGTATTTTTTCGTTTCTTTAAAAAAATACAGACAAAAAACACGAGTCGACTACCTTTAATGGCAACTCTAAAAATCGGGTGACAGGAATAAAATTTTAAATTCTATATGTTTTTCAAGCAAACCACATTGAAAAAACTACACTGCTATAAGTGGTATTTAGACCTGTTTGATGTAGTTTGTTGGTAGGCTGTCATTTTTTATTATTTGAAAGTATTTTTGGCGTAAACCATAAAGAATTAATTCTTTAGCAATAATTACATAATTTTGAGATTGCACTCTGAATATAAAACATTTGGTTTATCTCAAATTGCTATGCTATTTTAAAAAAAACCACCGCTGGAGTTGAAAGTTTACCATTTCTAAAATACCTCAGATTTTTTTATGTAGACTTTGGGGATTTTGAAACTTGATGTACGATGTCGTTTGACTATTCTGTAATATCTCGCTGCTGTGAGAACTTCTCAAATACAGACCTTAGAGAATAAAGCCACAGAAGTTCTACTCGTTTCTTCTGCATGGCTTTGCACTTTTATGGAAATTGTATCTTCTTATCATACCAGTTACGAATTGATAGATTTAAGCAAGAGCTCTATAGCTGTTCGCTTTTTCATAAACAAATTAGCTGCTTGTCCTTCACTTTACCGGTGAACCTAACTGGAGATACGGCTGCTTCGGTCTTCTTTTTTTGCTAGACACAATTGCACAGTGGTATGAGTAGTTGAAAAAAGCTGAGAGATCTAGCAGCAAATTGACTCAGACAAAAATGCATAGAGAAACGTCAAAGTAACAATTTTAGCATAGTTCTAATTTGGTAAAAACATTTTATTCTTTTTAAAACTAGCTATTTGAAGGTATTCAAACGTCTTCTGAGTTTATAAACGTATTTGAACTGTTGAGATTTATTTCAATTTTTAGAAGTGCATTTAATCCGTTCACTCATGCCGTGTCAGCAGTTTACACTGAAGATTTGGTAGACGGATGGGGTACCGGCTTTGCAGTGCACGTAAAACGTTTAATTCTGTCTTGCTGAAGATTCTCGTTAGTAAAAGAAAGCAATGAGTTATGAGCAAATTTGGGGTGATGTAATATGAAAAGAAACAATTTTTTTTTAACAAATGAATATGCTTCCAGAAGACTTTTTTGTGAAAATAACAAGACTCTCTTAGATTAAAAGGTCGCTTGACAAATGATTATTAGTTACCATTTTATGGTTATTTTAGGGAGTAAATATGCATGCTTTAAATGTTCGAGATAATTACCATCGACTTAGCGATGTTGTTCTTGGAAGAAACGATGCCTCGCATCAACCATTTATTCTTGGTTTTACAGTAGGCGCTGAGTATGATTTATCAAAGATTAGAGAAGTATCAGGTTCTCTTCTTTTTTATCTTTATTGTAAAGCAGCTATAAGATTTTGGTTGTTAAAGATTCATTTTTTTCATAGTGCAATTTGATTAAATTTTTTTACCGATTAAGGACATTTGGACTTGCCGGTACCCGGGGTCAACGAGATGTTTGACCTGGATGGTAGTGTCATGTTGAAAGGTTTTGGAAACGGGGTCTTCAATGGGCACCTCGATTTCCCCTTAACTCTGTCAGACCCTGGGGAAAGGTTCCCGTTTAGTCTCAAATATCTCAACTTTATGGCTGATCGACACATGCATTACGGTATGTAATTATTACCAAAAAAAAAACAGTATGACTTTTATCTGTCAATTTATTGTTGCTGGTAAAGCAACTACTTTTTAACTTTTGGTGACTGTTAGCGTACTTATGAATCTTGCAGGACATGTCATTCCAAATCTGAATCTCTTCCTTTTGAGAAGAAGTGATATTATGGATCGTTTAGTCCAAAATAAGGCGAATCCAACTAGTCTTGGATAAAATTTCATCAATTGGTTACTTATTTATCTAGCAATAAAAAGCTCTTGTTTCTCAATAAATTACGAATTTTTATCAAGAGGTTTTTCAAAAACAAGTGTTGCAAATTTGGCAGTCAGCTGTGGTGTAAGAGAATGCCGAAAATTAATAATTTTAATGATATAATAAGTCTATTCAACTTATTGAGACTATTGTTTACGTCAGTCAGACTAACTCAAAATTGTTTACACCATTGTTGAATTTGCGGAAGTGATAGATACGACTGCAGTGTAAATAGATTTGAATTTTAAAAAATAGCAGAATCGCAAAATTTAGCTACTGCGAGGTTTTCGTTTTTTTCAGTTGTTCTCGGTACAACAAATGTAGCTTTTTATTCTATGCCAGTTTCATCCTAGAACTTTTTACATTTAGCTGAGGGGAAAAAGCTTTAAATAAATTACGTTTTATTTTGGAGAAGTGTCACTGTTTTTCTTCTGCCTTTGTTGTTGTTTTTTCTTTCGCAGTTTATTTACGCTGTTCATTTCCTTGTAAATTCCAGCTCTTTATATTGGAAATTTTATTTATGCATTATCTTGCAAATGATAAACAGTTCTAGACTTGAGATAAACAAACATCAGATTTATATGCTTTTTTACGTAAATGTCAAAAACACAAATTATTGAAAAAATCAATTTTGTGTTTGAGTAACTGTAACCTTTCTACAATACTGACTTTGTTCATAGTTCAGTTTTTTTATAGATGACAAGTTTTAAAAGATCAAAAGTATTTAAAATTTACCTTCAGTGTATGAACAGAAATAAACTTTTCTTCAAGTTCAACCTACCTTACAGTATAAATATATCTTCTGATCACTTAATAAATGATACAGAAACTTAGACAATCTCAACTACATACAGAATCATGAAACTAAAGAATTATTTCTAAAATTATATTACTTAGTCAAGACATCTTTTAGTAAACACTGCTCATATTTAAAGTAGAATCAGAAGTTTGACTAGTGCTTATAATTCTAAGCACAAATCAGCAAAGTTCAATTCAATGTTGTAGTTATCTAAAGCTTTACGATTACATTCTTTCAACTTTCTGTTGTTAAATACTAACCCTCTTATAATAATGCAAAATCTTGTGAAAAAACAGTATCGGTTTCCTCTCTTGTAATCAAACATTAATAACTGATTTAACTGATAAAGCTTTATGTGCAAGACAGCTAGGTACCTGTACCAAGTTACAGGCTTCTTTTATAATAAGATTAATTTTAAAAAACGTTTTTGTAGTAGAACTTGCAGAGGCTTATCTTTATACTGTAGATAGTTATAAAAATAAAGCTGTGTAAGTTACTCTAAAGTCAAAAGATGCTTATTATATGCAACATTAGAACAGCAAATTTTAGGTTGTTTTCAAGGCTTAACTTTGTTGCATTCAGGAACATTTTCGTCAATTAGGTCAAAAAAATAATTTGTTGTAAGCAGTAAGGAGGTCGGAGAGAAGTCAAGAAGAAAAAAAGAAATGAGCAGAGGTTTCAATTATGCTCAGTTTCCAAAGTATGCTTTAATGTGGCAGATGTTTAACCAAAAAAAAAAAACACTAACCTTTTAAAAAGAAGCTTTAGTAAACCGAATAATAAAGCTTGAAAGCCGAGGTGCAGTTGTGAGAAATCTATTTGATTGTCTGTTTGGGCAAAAATAGCATGTCAAACGTTTGATTTAATCCATATGTTTGCCAGGATAATGTATCTATTCTCAATGCTTTAAGTTTCTGCTTTTTTAGTGCTTTTTTTTTGCCTCGTTTCAATAACGATTTGGGTATCTAATTTCATTAGAGTTAATTACTTTGTTCAGTCAAATGAGAATGCTATTCTTATTGGTTGCAGCCTTTTCCATGATTTGTCCGTTTCATTTTTCCAAATTGTTGTCTTCGTCAGTAAATGGTAAAAAAAACAAGTGGAGAAAGAATATGATGTTAGATGGCAGCTTTTGAGTGACCAGAACATAGCTGAATTATTTAAAGCTTATGCTAGCTTAAAGTTTTTAGAAGAAATGCATGCAGTAAGCGGTGTATATAAAATATGCTTCATTAAGTTGCAAAATGTGCTAAATTAAAAAAAAAGTAACTGGAAAAAGAAAAGGAAAAGAAGCGTATTGAAAGTTTGTCTTTAAAAAAAAGTCTTTTTCTTTTTTTATAAAGCAGTTCAGTAATGTTTGATTGGAACGTCCACAAAGCTTTTCATATTTATCAGCTCAGTAAAATGTTTAGCACTTTTTTCTAACTTAAATTAACTCGACCAATCATTTTTGGCTTTTTTTTTCGTCATATTTAAGTGCTATCTTATAATTTTTTGTCTTCAGTTACTGTAAGAAAGCGAAATAAGCTTGAATGTTGATTTTTATTTTTTTCAAAGTCGGCTTATGTATCTTTTCTGACAATCTTTGTAAATAAAGTTGCTG